ACGAGCCGATCGCAGCCAGCACCCCCCCCCCCCCGCCAAGCCCCCCCGGCAAACAGAAAAGCCAGGAGAAAGAATCAAAACAGGCGCCCACCTGGTCATGCCAGCAGCTAGAAACAAGCAGAAGACAGGAGGCGATGGCAAGCCCCCTCAACCCCCCTCCAAGCCTGAAGACCTGCAACTCCCACAACGACGCCGATGCCCATGTCTTCACCCACCCACCCCGAGGAGCCGCTCTCGCCCCCTGACCTAGAGTCCTGCATGCTGGAGGGAGGGAGGGAGTGGCGGTGGGAAGACGGCAGAGGCCGGGCTGCCCACCCCCCTCCCAGGGACGAAGACGATGATGCTGACGCTGGCAGAGGACGGGACGGAGGAGGAGGAGAGGGATACTCGCTTGCAGGCTTGGAGGAGGCGAGGCGCCGGCCAGGCGGGGCTCGGGGTGCAGAGAGGCGCACTCACTCGGGCAGGTGCTCCCTCCTGTAGGCTGCTGCTGGTGCTGCTCGTCGCGGTCAGCCGCCTTGGAGGAGAAGGGGAGTCGCGGGGCGCAGGCGGCTTCTCTTCCCCTGCTGGCTCGATGTCTGCTTTGCATGGCCCCTGCCCTCCATTCAAACTGCCCAATCGGTGGCCGCCTAGGAAGCTGGGGTGACGGTGCGCATGCCCACAGAGAGGGCTCTGAGTGCCACCTCTGGCACGCGTGCCATAGGTTCGCCACCACAGCCATAGAGTCCACCCTCCAAACCAGCCATTTCCTCCCGGGGAACCATTTTTGCCAATCTCCAGGGGGAGGGCTGGAGATCACTCAGAATTACAACTGCTCTTTAGATGGTAGAGATCAGTTCCCCCGGAGAAAATGGTAAACTCTGAGGTCACCCACCCAGAGCCTCTTTCTTGAGCTTGTTGTATTTATTTCCACAGCGGACCTTATTCCTAGTATTGTATAAATATGATAACCATAAAAGTGATTGAAACATCAGATAAAATTAATCCTATTTTAATATTATAAAAACAATGCAACATAAAATCTTATAAAATACTAATGACATAACAGTAGAGCAGCTTTAAAACATTTAAGAAAATAAGGCCCTTAAAAGGTGTGAGCAGAATGAAGGCTTTGCCTAGTGCGTATAAGATCATACACTTGGCACCAGGTAAGCCTCTTTAGGAAGTGAATTCTACAGCCTAGGCACCACTACTGAAAAAATGCTTTCTCTGGTGTTTAGTCATCTTGTCTCTGTTAGTAGAACACAGAGTGGGATTTCTGATGATGGCCTTAACCAGCAGGCAGGTTCATTTGGGAGAACAGTTTTTTACAAAAGTGATCTCAAACTATGTAGAGCTTTTTATGTTATAGAATTGAAGCTGACTGGCAGCCAGTGGAGAGCTTTTAAAGCTGTTGAGATGTAATCCCCGTAACTTGAAACTGATAGCAGCCTAACCTCTATATCATGAATTAGTTGAAGATTTTGAACACTCATCAAAAGCAGCCACATGTAGAATGCATTGCAGTAGTCCAACCTAGATTCAGTCAGAGCATGAATAATTGTGGCCAAGTCCTGCCTCTCAAGGGAGGACTGCAGTCGGTGAGCCAGTCAAAGCAGGTTAAAAATAGGACCCCATATTTTAAATGCCATGGGGCTGAGCAGTTTTGTCCCAGCACCAACTTCTGGAGCTGGTCTACCAGGCACAGCATAATAACATAAGAAGAGCCTTGCTGGATCAGACCAATAGTCCAGCCAGCCAGCATCCTATCTCACACAGTGGCCTACCAGTTACCCTGGAGAGCCAGCAAGACCATACAGAGGCTGAGGACTTTACCTGATGTTGCCTCCTGACACTGGTATTCAGGGATTCCTTGTCTCTGCATGTCAAGATTTCCTTTTGTCACTGTGGCTAGTAGCCACTGATAGACCTATCCATATACCTGTCTGTTGCCCTTTTAAAGCCATATATGCCTGTGGCCATCCTCTGGCACTTTTTGAGTAAAGTAGGATTTCCTTTTGTCCTTCTTGAATCTACTTACCATCAACTTCATTGAGTGACCCTGAGTGCGGGTATTTTGGAGAGGACAAAGAAGTTCTCTCTGGCCCCGGTCACACGGGCAGGAAACTGCGGGGGAGAAGCGTGGCTGTTTGCCCTGGGGCAAACTACTGCGCAGTTACACGATCAGACCTCCTGTGGAGGTACCGTGGAGGTTCCATGGCAAGGGAGAGGTGCCGATCACAGGACAAGCCGGCGCGCAACGAAGAAGCGCGCGCCGCGGCAAAGTGTTTTGTTTTTGTGTGTACATGACAAATGCGCATGCTCCGTTGGGTGCGCGTGCGCATCCACAGAGACTTGGACAAAAAAAACACACCTTATTTGCAAGGGGACATGGGCGGGCGCCGGATGCCACCGGAAACGCAATCAGACGCCCGCCCTTGCCCCGCAGTTTCCGGAAACTAGTACCTCTGAGGTACTAGTTTTTTGCCACGCAGTTTCGGCTGGAAGCCTCGGTTGAGCCACGGGAGTGCTACGCTTCCCAGATGTGCTGGTGAGATCGCGCCTGGAAACTCCGCCTGTTTTCCGTCTCACTTGTGTGGCTTCTGTTCCGTGTGACCGCAGCCTCTGTCTGCTTTCTTTGCCCCCTGTATACTTTTATAAACCTCTATCGTGTCCTGTCTGGGTCTTCGACATCGCAGTACAACACGTTGGTAGCTTTCTGCTCACTTAATTTCTCCCATATGTAATCCCTCACCCCCACCTCATTCCTCTTCCGACAAGGCTTGATTCCCAATCAAATTGGCAGCCCTAAATGGCTGTTTTTAGTAAGAAAAAAGATATCCAGTCCAATGCTCCCTCTAAGCGGTGGAGTCTTGTGAGCAATAATTCCACTGTGTGATTCTGTGGCATTAAAGCTGTGAGCAAGCAATTTGGCTACTGCATAGATTAGTTTGCTCTGGAGCCATCCTTCCTGAGCTAAGAGAAAAAATTGTGAACCGGAGGCTAAAAAACTGTGAGCTAGCTCACACTAACTCAGCTTAGAGGGAACACTGATCCAGTCATAGGTCTCCCATTTTAGCCTTTAGTTGGACCATTCATGGATACTCTACCTTGAACAAAAAGCTAACCTCTAATAACTGGAGAATACTGAAAGGAGGTTAATAGCAGTTTAATAGACATTTTGTGGTAATTGGTAAAAGAAAGCTGGATATTGTATATAATATATACAATATACAGTTAATGATACAGCAGACTTTGGGATCTTCTGCTCTGGGGCCCTTTATCCCTGGCAGTGATATACAGTTAATGATACAACCAGGGTTGTGTTTTTTTGGTTTTTTTTAAAGGTGTCGGAACTCTCAAGAGGGAAATGAAGTTTTCAATCTGTATACTGAAAACTCATGTACTTTTAAACATTTTAAAAAGAATTTTGGCAAAGAGGTTCCAGAGCTCCGTGTCCGCACGTTCCCTCAGAAAAAAAGCCCTGGACAGCAAATGATAGTTTGGTGTAGTGGTTAAGAGCAGCGGACTCTAATCTGGAGAACCAGGTTTGATTCCCCACTCCTCCACATGAATCCAGCTGGGTGACCTTGGATCAGTCACAATTCTCTCAGAACTCTCTCATCCCCACCTACCTCACAA